TTCTTGCCATATAGAGCTGAACTTTACAGCATTACATCAATTAGATAACATCCATTCATTTCATTCCATTTTATTCTATTCAAACCCAGTCGAAGCAAGAAAAGCCCCATCCCCAAATTGGTCGCGAGATCTTCAAAAGTTGCTTACATGAATTATGATAATGCGCAAGTGACTCGTTCATACTTATGAATAACTAAAATGATATCGAAAATTCAATTTAGCCTTATATAATGTTTCCGAGATTGTGGCCCCGCGAAAACTTCAGAAAGCGAACCAAAAGAAATTCCGGAGTGCGTGGCTAACGCCACCACCTTCTCAGAAAGAAAATTTTGTGAACCCCGATCGGAATCCTAGATACGCCACTGGAAATAAGCATGAAATTACTCATGAGCCCTTTTTTGTAGTGTACGATATGCAGTCAGTAACCAGATCCCATACCTGAGTGCTGCTTGGTGCAGGAGGGGAAGCACGTCTGGTAATGCGTAAGTCACTGCTTGAACTTGTTGTAGAATCCTTTCCCTGCCGCTTTTTTACCTTTTCCACTGAAGGTCGTGACTCCATTGAATACGTATCAACGCAAGTATCTCGGACGGATTGTAATATGCTAAACACGAAATATTTTGATGCGCTTCCAAACAATATTTTCTGTAAGAAAGTGATCTTTGAATACATCTGTAAACCACGATCTACCTGGCCAGTAGGTCTTTTTTGCCCTTGACAGCCTTCTGTATTGGTTCGTTGAAAGCATGCTGGACAAATGTTTGTAGCTCAGTGTATACATGCCGTCTGAAAGGCACTTATTTATATGATTTTGTGAAAAAAAGGTCGAAGACGTTTTAGCGAAAACGTGGCTAACCTTATAGCATTTGAAAGAGACGATTCTATGCGCCCCAATAACGACTGCAAGCCCTTTATCATCGATATTGTTTGGATGAGTGCTGTCTTTTCAGCAGGTGAGTAGTTGTACCTAAACGTAAGCAAAAGGTAGGCTAAAAGATGCAAATAGAAAGAAAACTGCTATGATTCGACATACCTTGTAGCTCGTTCATACTCTTCAGCAGTCTCAGGACAATCTTTGTTGTCTCGACTGTTGGTTGGATGCAGTAGCTTCCAGCTGATAGTTTCCACAACATCTGCCGTCC